TTTAATAAACAGTTAACACATAAAAATCTGACTAGAATTCCAGCCTAAATATCAGTTTCAGCAAAGCTTTAAACAGTAAAGAAATACAATGTAAGGACTTATGCAGAACAGTCAGTAAGCCACCTAAATTTCCTGCTTCTAGGTTATTTTCTGGGGACAGATCATCCTGGAGAAGGTCTATCTATGGGGTCACTAAAGGTTCACCCTGACTTGATGGCATTTAATGATATATAAACTGATTTACTGGAGTCAAAGAATCTAAGGCTAGGTTCATCTATTCTGCAGAATTTGTTTTCAGCTGTAACAAAATACAGTAAGAGCACTAATGTACTATGAAGACCAAAAACACACATATCATGTATGCCACATTTCTGAAAAGATGGACCCTGTCATTTTTATTCATGATTTTTGAAAAGGACCAGGAAAAAATGAACTGGGCCACTCAGTTTCAGTGTCCTAGATCACCTGGTTTACTCTGCAGCATCAGTCAACACTGCACTCTCCATGTAAATGAAACAGGAGATGCCAGTATGCTGGTCATAATCTCTTACATCTCTTTTTACATACAGCTCCAATGAGCTTAATTTCAAAATCTGACCTATTATAGTTTGAAGCTTCAATTATAGTCAATTTATATAAGACTGAAGAAGAATGGTCTTTGTGTTAATAAACAGAGTGATCTCTTATATTTCAAAATTACAAACTATATTTCTCTTGGTATTACATTAGAGTGCATCACCATACTTCTGCTGCTAATTAAACTCACCATCCAAGATGAGCTTTTAAAAATAATTTCACTCGTCCAACCATCTCAGATCAATGGTTTGTTTTGTTCGTTAGGGTATATTTACCTGTGCTCTTTTGCTAATGTAATAAATATTGCTGGTGCACTGAATTTCCCTGCTGTGTTCTCAAGTCAACATCAACGGCATGGACAGAAGTCCACTTAAGTCTAATCAGGTGAAAGTTAGAAAGAAAGAACAAAACAGGGAATTAAATCAACGGAAATACTTGGGGAAAAGAAGGAATCAGCTTTAATTTGCCCAGTGCTAGGAACTGCAATACAAAACAGTTTTTGGAGACCGACTCTAGTTTATACCAGCATAACAAATTTCCACGTTGGTCACCTGACCCATACGATACTCAATGGGTGTAATGTGATAGGCCACTCTTTGTTTTAAGAGTGGTCAACTTCAACTACATCTGGAGATTTGCAAGCAAAAATACAAGCAACATTTAAACCACTAAAAAACAAACCTAAATTTGTCTTCAAACAATTAAATCATCTGACTGTTAACAAACATATTATGTTGGATTTGCTTTTGAATGGCAACAGTTTTAAACTCTTTCTGAAGGTTGAATGGCATGGCAGCAAATTATTGTAATTAAACATCATATAGTAGCCTCCAAAATGATACGCATGTAATAGTACAAAGATACAAAGAACTAAACATGCTTGCAAAAAAATATGAAGCAGAGGTTTAATTGAAGCAAGGTGTTCGTTGAAATTTTCAAAATTAGTTGAGTATCTTTGCAAGCTAGAAACACAATGCTACATAAGCTTGTCAAGATTATTCCAAAAGAATTAGACACCAGGCCCCAACCTACCTGTGTAGCCATATTTATATAATAAAAATTAATTTTTGTGGAATGCTAGCAAGTTAAAAACTACTAGCTTAATTATTGCCTAAGCGTTCATGATTTCCAACTCATTTATCATGGTTTATGCGTGAAGAAAAGGAGGGCTGGAAAGACTACTCTTGCTTTTGGAGATAGCCAGCTTTTACTAATTAAAAAAGACAGTTCATACTGAAATTCATAGACTAATGGTATGAAGCAGTATGGTAGCTTCCTACATTTCCACCAGGCACATCAACCCAAACAAAGCTTAGATAATATGTAAAGATTCATTAACCCCCTGTTATTCTTAACTCTCAAGCACTGCTTCCATCGGTTATAATCTGAATTTGGCCAAGCACCTTTCTCATGACAATACATCTTAGCTATATGTGATATAAATTTGATATATAAATAAAATAAAATAAATAAATATGTACAATGCCTGATGCATGTTTTCACACACATGCAAGTACTGACCATGACAAGTTTTATTATCATAAGTGTGTTAGCCTCTAATGTGCATAAAGCTGTTTTCAGACAAATATTACATGATCGTTTTTTGAAAGAAATCTAGCTTTATATTTTAGTACACAAACTGTTTCTATCACTGAAATTCAAATTAGCCCACGTCAGATTAGACTTAGACTAAACAATCCTTTGCCACAGGCTAATACACCCTGACGTGCAAAACTACCAGAAGGTACTAGACTACTCACCCCTGATACACTGGATTGGATGGTTAAAATTAGTTGTGTTTTATCATTCAGAACAATTCTGTATCTAAAAATATTTGCAGGTAAAATAAAGAAGTCACCTAAATGAACATTAATAATTTCTTACATTTTATCTATTATCTTTTCTTCTTTTTTAATTTTTTTTTTTTTTTGGTAATTTCCTTGTTCTGGTTGTTGTGAGCCGCCCTAGTCATTGGGAGCCAGGCAGCATACAAATTTAATAAAAAACAAATAAATAAAAAATTACTGGGACTGGTTCCCAAGTATATTGATATCATTCACATAGAGCAAAATACATACAGCCCATGGTTTATTTTAGAGCACAGATATTATTAAGCAGTAATTTAGAGAAGAGAGTCAGTTTGGTCTAGTGGCTAGAAACTGGGAGTCTGTGAGTTCTGTCCCACCTTCAGCACGGAGCCAGCTGGGTGACCTAGGGCCAGTCGCTCTCTCTCAGCCCTAGGAAGCAGGGAATAGCAAACCACTTCTGAAATCTTGCCAAGAAAACTGCCAGAATTTGTCCAGGCAGTCACCAGTAGTCAACAATGACTTAAAGCCACAAAAATAATAAATAAATAAATAAATAAGCAAGCAAGCAAGCAAGCAAGCAACATCATGGTTAGGTTGAGAAGTCTCAAGTTTGGAAGCTTCAGTCTTGAATCTACTATTCAACATTAGAGAAGTTTCTACTTTAACAGTAACTTCTTCATTTACATTATAGCAACAGTTGCAGAATCACTACTAGGTACTGAAAATAATTACATGAAGTGCATAAAATTACTATGATAATGCTATGAAGTAGCGACCGATCTAAATGAAAGAATTGATTTTTCTATGCCTTACAGCATTTATATAAGACTATAACAAAAGGAGAGGAAAGCATCAAGGTGGCATGAGAACAAAATGATTTCTATATAGCTTTAAATGATCAATTCCTTTTGCATCTGAAATGCTTTTTCACTTTTGAAAAAGGACTTGTTAAATAATTAAATTAATGAAGATCAGGAAGAGAGAATATCAAGGCTAGTTCCACAATCAAGACTTCCATTTAAACAAAATGCAACAGTTAATTTGTAGTTCACTGAGAGCAACAAAGGCAAAAAATACAATTAATCATTGCCAGGTGCTGAACGTTTTTTCCCATCATTTACCCTGGTAGATGGAAGCATTAATTTTTTGAGAGAAGTGAAAAACTTTCAAGCAGAATCCACACAAAGCATAAAAAGAGAAGTTGATTTCTGAATTACATCTGGCAAGCAAAAGTCACTGGGATGCTGGGCTTCAATGCATATGGCTTCCTGAAAGAACTGTATCCAGCTTTTGCTAGTAATTCTCAATGGAATTAACAGATATTCCTAGGGGTATCTGAGTTTCATTCAAAAAGCTGGGGAGGGGAGATAGGAAGGTAAACATTGTCTAGATTCCGATGGCCAGTTCACACATCTTATGTCCAGAGAAAACTGTGCCATTCTACAAGGTACAGGCCATGAAATATTTCTACCTATGCTATGTGCACTTCACATATAATATCTCAGTAATACATCAATTCTATAACATAAATCAATTTTATTAACCTTGTTTTAAAGCAAGAGAAGAAACAAAAGCTATCCAGCAAATTCATGGCCAACATACAGACTAGAAGTTTCCACATTCAGCTTTCTGAACAGGTATATTTGACAAATGTCTTAGTGAAGATGTCCAGTTAATATACCACACTAAAAAAAAAATCAAATGTGTGTTTTCAAAACCATGAACACATACCACAACTGATCACTAGCTGAGGTTCCCTGCTATCCCTTTTTGAAAGCACCAAATTTCCTTCTGTAGTGTGAAGGAATGCTCAATGGAAAAACCCATGGATGCAACCTAAGTGCAACTTAAGAATCACCTTAAAGATTTTAACACAGACTACAAAAGGGCACCTTTCCAAGAAGTCTTGAACAAAATCTATCCTTCCCTTCAAGCCTCATAAAGTCTGGTTGGCCGGGCCAATTTTTAAAAACATAGACTATTTGTGTTCCCATGTAAAATTTATTCTGTCAAATATTAACAAACAGCACTGCTTACCATGGAAAGCCAGTTATATTTAATACAATCCCCTGAAATATTTTTAAAACAAGGTGCATCCAGGAAACTCCATTTATTCAACATCCCAAAGAAAAAAATAATCAAATTCTTAATGAGGTTTATTGATCTGAAAGTCTCCATCCACTACAAGCTGCACGAGAGAAGGATTTTGCCTTCTTTAGAAGATCCTCTAAATTCCAACCAGCAAGGGGAAAAAACCCACAGCCGGCTTCCACCAATTCCACTGCAATGCCGAAATAGTCAGAACTCAAAGGTCGGCGGGCATTTTTGCCAAGAGGGCAGAGCAAGAAATGAAAGAAAACAGGGAACAAGACTTCTCCAACCAGCCAAATTGGGAAAATGCGGGAAAGGATTCCCCACCCCCCACAACATCTTCCAGAAAAAAGAAAGCAAGGGGGAGAGACATTCAATCCACAACAGCAGGAACTGTCTCAATACTGTTAGGCATGGCATGTATTAATGCAATCTTTGGTCATCCTGTTTGAATGTAAAGGCCCAAATAAGAAAAAAGGCCTTCCTTAACCTGGCCAGAATAGCAATTTGAAAGGCGAGGCCCACCTTTCCCGCTGCCCCTGCAATCCCCCTGGGGAAGGAAAGGAGAAAGGAGGACCAGCAGCAACAGCAGCAGGACAACTGTAACCTCCTCCTCCTTCTCCTCCACGGCCCAACCTTCACAGAAGACCTGTCTCTCCACCGGCCGACCCAAACAAGGCTGGAAAGGAAAAGGAGAGAAAGGAAGAGGGGAGGAGGAGGAGAAGGAAAGAAGAGGGGGAAGGAGAAAATGAAGAAGGAAGGGGAAGAAAGAAGGAAAGAAGAGGAGAGGAGAGGAAGAAAGAGGAGAGGAGGAGGAGGAGAGGGAGAAGGGGGGAAGGAGAAAGAGGAGAAAAGGAGGAGAAAGAAGGAGGATGAGGAAAGAAGAGGGAAAGGAAAAGGAGGGAAGAAGGGAAAGAAGGAGAGAGGAAGAGAGAGGGGAAGAAGAAAGAAGAATGGGAAGGAGGAGGAACGAAGAGAAGGAGAAAAACTCGCTTCGCCGCCTGCTCCCAGAAACCGGGCGCCCGCCACATGCCCGGGGACTACAACTCCCATCACCCCCAGCCGCCGCAGCTCGTCATCCAGACAGAGGCGAGGCCAGTCGGGATCCACCGCCCAACCCAAGGCTGGGGGCCGGGGATGATGGGCGCTGGGGCTCTCGGGAGGGCGATTCGGGGAGGGGAGGGGCAGGAGGCCCCCCCAGGCGCCGGCTCCCCCTCTCCCCCCGGCGGCCCAGCGGGACGGCGCCGGCC